ATGCATGTATTACATGACTACTGTGAAGTCAGAGAATAAACATTTCTTTCTTTATATTATTTTGATCTAATTCTAATTAGTCTCATATTCCCAGAGAATGTCATTATCCAGGTTTTATAGAAGGAGGAGAGGTATTACTAAATTAATGGAGCGACTTTTTGGAAATTCATAGAAAACAATAAATTCATACACACACACAAAAGCAAGAAAGGTATTTCTCTTTATGGAGACAAGAAAGAATGCTCCTGGTTATTACATTTTATAGGTCTTCATGCTATTCAGGTTCAAATAATGGAAAAGTATTAAAAATAAAATCTGACGACTGAATTATCAGGAGTGTTTGAAAAAAAAACTTTCTAGGCAATCTGTGGGTTTTGTTGTTTTTTCTTTTCTGTTATGATTTTTGTAGGATTAGTGTCTGGGGTATATCCAGAGTGTATGTATAACATTGGGACTTCAGTAAATTACTTCATATCATCTCACAGCAACTGATTTGAAAAAAATCCCAACTAATCAAAATTGGTTTGGACTGTAACACTAGCCCATGAACTCTAAACTGGCTGCAAGACAAAGCCTACTGATTAATGGATTCATACAGAACTGCAGGGACAAAGCTAGTAGTTATCTTTGGCAGGTTGTATTTACTCATGCCAGGGCTGGATATGGTTCATTGTTTCTTCAGTTTTTTTAAGATAACAATGACCAAATTGGAGGCCCCATCCCTGGAAACATTCACGACCAGGTCAGATGGGGCTCTGAGCAACCTTATCTAGTTAGCAGTGTCCCTTCTCACTGCAGGGGGGTTGGACTAGATGACCTTTAGGGATCCCTTCCAACCCAAAACATTCTATGATTCTATGAAATGAGCATAATAAATCCTGGTCCTTTTTGTTGAAAATTGTTTGAATCATAAAGGCACCTTCACTGTTGGGCTGGGTTTGCAGTCTCAACAGAGTAGAGGAAGGAGAACAAAACTCAGATTCAGTCCCTCCAGGTTAGGGCTACGGACAAGGTGTGCTGACTGGGCAGCAATGGGGGTCTGCAGTTTTATTGCTGTTGATAGCAGCTTAATTCAGAGACATCAAACTGGTTTGCAGTAGTTTTGTACCATGGACATTTCTTTATAGTTGCTTCCTCTCTGTTTCACAAGGTTACATTGAGAGGGGAAGGATTAAAACACCTGAGTTTAGCTATTTACCTGTAAGCATCTACACTCCCTTGGGAAGAGATGGAGATCTAGGCAAGACAGTCAAGAGAACATCTTGGTTCACCCTGAAGTAAATGCTGGGGTTTTTTCACTAGTGATGTACTGAACAGTGCTTCACTGTAACTGGAGTTTAGACACTACACACATAGTCATCTGTGTTTATATATCATCCTCTGTGAACTGAATCCCAACTCCTTTTTTTTGCGTGCTGTTGTGAAACAAAAAAAAATGCTTGGCAGAAACATTTTAGTCTGACAAATGTGCACTATTCCTAGATTGGAACCTGGCTGTCCTTTCCTGGAGCATAGCCTGAAGAGCCATATTCACAGCCCATGTGATTAAAGTACAGGCTTTAATATTAATAGCATTACAGACAATATTTCAGAGCTCTGGGACTCCCTGCTCCGAAGCTGAGAGCCTCTCATCTCCATCCTTAGCTTGTCTGTCATAGAAGCTGAGATACCATGTATCCAAATGCATCACTGAAACACTTATGAGTTGGAAATAACCATAGAGTCACCTGTAGTTCACTATCACTAATGGTTACAGATATCCTATTCCCAAAACCAGGGAAAAAAGACTAGGACTTGGAGAAAAATTCGCAAGTTCTGACATATGGTCAGAATAATCCCACCACTAAAAATGACAGATGTGATTTACAGGATTAGATTGTTTTCTACTCTTTGCCAGCAAGAATGGCAAAATCATGTGCTGCAGAGCTCTTTTGCATAAATAACACTGATCAGCCATCAAAACTAAGCACCGATTGCTCACAAGTGTAGGTGAACTATGAAATTACCTCATTGCATATTGAACCAGGTGAAAAATAAACACCTATTTTATTGCTCTCCTTGTCTCCTCTTCAATTTACTCCAAGATAAGAATTCTTGAAAAATATTTGTCAAAACTTTTGAAACTAATCCTTGTTCTTTCTGGCAATAAATGACAAACTTTGCCATTTCAAATTAGAAGAAATCTGATACAAAGTAGATTTCTTCACTGAATCCTGAAGAAACAAGTGCAAGATGAAATATACAGATGAAATATTCTACAAGCAACTGGGAGAAGTCTCACAATCACTAGCCCTTGTTCTTGTGGGGTGGACTTCCAACTACCAGATGTCTGCTGGAAATAAAATACAGCAGAAAAGAAACAGTCTAGGAGGTTCCTGGAGTGTGCAGAAGTCACAACAACCCAATGCAAGGCTACAGGCTTGGGGATGAGTGGCTCAAGAGCTGCTTGGCAAAGAGGGATCTGGGGGTACTGGTCGACAGTCAACTGAATATGAGCCAGCAGTGTGCCCAGGTGGCCAAGAGGGCCAATGGCATCTTGGCTTGTATCAGGAATAGTGTGGCCAGCAGCAGTAGGGAAGTCATTCTTCCCTCTGTACTTGGCTCTGGTGAGACCGCACCTCGAATACTGTGTTCAGTTTTCAGCCCCTCATTACAAGAAGGACATTGAGGCACTGGAACTTGTCCAGAGAAGGGCAACGAAGCTGGTGAAGGGTCTGGAGCACAAGTCTTATGAGGAATGGCTGAGGGAACTGGGGTTGTTTAGCCTGGAGAAGAGGAGGCTGAGGGGAGACCTTATTGTCCTCTACAACTGCCTGAAAGGAGGTTATAGCAAGGTGGGTGTTGGTCTCTTCTCCCAAGTAACAAGCAATAGGATGAGAGGAAATGGCCTCAAGTTGTGCCAGGAGAGGTTTAGATTGGATATTAGGGAAAATTTCTGCTCTGAAAGGGTTATCAGGCTTTGGAACAGGCTGCCCAGGGAAGTGATTGAGTCACAATCCCTGGAGGTATTTAAAAGACAGGTGCTTAGAGATATGGTTTAGTAGTGGACAGGTATGGTTGGAGTCAATGTTCTGAAAGGTATTTTCCAACAAAATGATTCTATGATTCTAAGATGGCAAAAGCCTTTCAGCTATGGTCCCATCTCAGGCTTCCAGTTCCCCACTAACAAGTAATAACCATCAAGTTTGAACAAGACATTAAATCAACAATCAGAGTCCAGCCTCAGGCGCAGAACAGAGATTACACTAGTGGTATTAAACTGTGACCTACTTGTAAGATCCTGGCCATAGTAAGAACTTGCTCAAAGTATTGCTGTCTGTGCTGCTTTTAACACAGTGAATTACAAAATATTTCAGACTTGCCTTTTTAACGCAGGGGAACTAGATGGGTTTATTCTCTCCACTGGAACACAAATATTGCTGGTGGATACCTGCTGTTCCCCTTTCAAGGTATTCTGGGTGACACCTTAAAAAGGAATTGTATAATTTCAGCAATAGTATTTGATCTAAGGACAAACATTTTCTCTTCTTACACTTCCATGTAACTAATATCCTTACACTGTTACAATCGTACTCTACAGCACCATACTACTTCATGGTCATTAAGTATTTGTCTGCTATTCCTATTTCTCTTACATATCTGTATGAGATACCAGATACCAGATTTTGAAGAGATAACAGGAGTGCTGAAAGAGATAATCTAGAGTGTGTATTCCAATGACATTACCCATATAGTTCACTCTTCCCATCTGATTAAATTACAACCATGTTTACAAAATTAAATCCTACACTGTGATTTTATGAAACTGTATGAAGGAAGCAGTTTAAGAACTTCGTGCTGTTATTCACACCCTACAGCATGCAAGACATCCACTGAGCTTTCATGACAGAATACCTACAAGAAGCCCATTCCCTGCTGGGGCAGCAGCTCTCAGCCCAGTGTTCACATGCCTGAAAATCTTTTGAGCTGGTGTCACATCACACTCTTGCCAGAAAGAAAAGGTTCTGCTCCCTTTGCCTATACCCCTTCCTCACTCTGGGTCATGTGGTCCCACAGTTTATTTTGTGCCAGCTCTAACAACCTACTGAAATTCTATGTCCATGTAACTCATTAAAACAGAGGACATACAACACTGTGCAAATCTGGGTGGTTTTCTTTCAGGTTAGTGAAGTAAATTGAGACAGTGAAGGATTTCAAAGTGCTGTAGACAAGGGATAGGGCAGGACATGCTGGCTTTAGCAGTAGGGCGATGAGGAGAGGGAAGGCAGGGAAGGAAGAAGGAGAGAAAAAGGGAGGAGGAAGGAAGGAGTGAGACCTCTTCGTTTTGGCATCAGCAAGCTGTTACATTTGCTCCCCTGTCTGTGGAAGTGCAGCCTTACATAAGCTCAGTACATTAAGCAGACTCTGCTCAGACAAGAAAATACTAAAAATCTGAATAGCCCTTTACATACCCGCCACTGCTTGTTCTGCTACCGCAGGTAGCCATTTCTCTGGAGACGGGCAGGAAGTCCCTGATGCTCTGCGAAGACCTTGATGATTGATACTGATTTTATGAGCCCCTCTCTTTAGCTCTTGACTTAATGATAAATGTGCAAAGGGAGTTATACAGAATCTGAAGATAGACATTGTAATCATTCACCCATCCAGTAAAATCTTAACATATACACAATATAAAGTGTAGCCAACTGTTTTGATAGGTTATATAGATATTCCTTGCTGGAGTGGAACAACTATAAGAGAAGTATTTTTGAAATGCTTAATAAGCATTGTGCTTTACTTGAAAATGAATGCCAGAAAGATGTTTCTGGCACAGACAGCTGTGTGTGATATTAGGCCAATGACCACTGTTAATGGCTACTGGTGAGTTATACACTTTTTTGTCTCTGATTTCTTCACTCTAGGTTGTTTTTTTTTTTCTCCCTGCTGTAAGTAATACTACTGCCTTAATCTCTGCAGTTAAAAAAATAAAGGCTGCTTCTAAGCCTGGTTTGGGGTGGTTTTGTTTAATTTTATTCATCATGAAAAAATTGTACTTAAAAGGTTGGAAAGACGTAAGATTTACTAACTACAGTTTCAGAATTTCTGAGGAAAATCACAAGTGCCTATGGTATCATGGCCCCTGCGCAAGGATGACATGCAAATTCATGAAGCGTTCCATATTTTTCATTCTAACATTGAGATACACATTTAGCAAAGGCCACTTGATTAGTCAACACTAGAGGATCTGCCAATCCAGCTGGCCCTGTTAAATCAAACCTCTTCTGTACTATAGAGGGGGATAAAATCCCTGTAGTGCATGCAAAAAATATACTGGGGAAGACAGTCTGGGTTACTCCTGCCTCAGGCAAAGGCAAACCCATTCGTGGGATTACTTTTGCTCAAGGACCTGGGTGTACTTGGTGGGTGATGCGGCAGGATGGGGAAATCTGATGTGTACCCCAAGGGGATTCGATTTTGGGTGAAAATAGCCAATGAACTGAATTGTATGATGTTAATTGCTGTATAATAACATATGTCATCATTTTTACGATTGCTATATGCCATATCAAATGTATTACAATAAGAATCACCCAGATTAATGAAGAATGAATTTTGATGAAACTGAGAAGGTGCAGCAGTGATGGAACCAGACCTTCATTATGCAACAACCCAACACCACACACCATGTCTCCTGCCCTGAAAGACAGGTGGAGCCCAAAGTCACGGATTAAATGAACCCAATGGACATTTTAGAAAAATGGCCCATAAGGGAATGATATCTGTGTGTATATATCAAAAAATGGGGAAAGTGGTGGTATTGGAAAGGGTAGGACCTGAGCATGACATAAATGGTATAGAATAAGGGGTGGATACTGTCCTGATTTTAGCTGGGATAGAGTTAATTTTCTTCCTAGCTGCTGGCACAGTGCTGTGTTTTGGATTCATCACTAGAAGAATGTTGGTAACACACTGATGTTTCAGTTGTTACTGAGCAGTGCTTACACCAGCCAAGGACTTTTCAGCTTCCCCTGCTCTGCCAGATGCACAAGAAGCTGGGATGGGGCCCATCCAGGACAGCTGACCCCAACTGGCCCAAGGGCTATGCCAGACCATAGGACATCATGCTCGGGGGGAGCTGGCTAGGCAGGACAGCGATTGCTGCTCGGGACGGGCTGGGCATTGGTCACTGGGTGGTGAGCAATTGCATTAAGCATCACTTGTTTTGTATATTCTGTATATTCTATTACCATTATTAGTAGTATTACTATTGTTATTCTTTTCCTATGCTGCTTTATTAAACTGTTTTTATCTTAACCCACGAGTTTTACTTTTTTCTGATTCTCTCCCCCATCTCTCTGAGGGACGGGGGGAGTGGTATTCAGCTGTCTGATGGGTTAAACCACAGCAGATCCTTAGGTTAATGGTAGGCAGTAAATAAAACTTTTGAAGTCTCTATTGCATCCTGGATGAAGTACCTCACAAGTTTTCGAATAAAAATTAAGTATCATGCATCTGTTATTTCCTATAAAAAGCACAAAGACATATCAATGACTGGTTAGCCTTTCCTTATTTAAGGGAGATACCAGACATAAAATTTGGGAAGATAAAGGCTTATTGAAAAAGAAAATACCATTATGAAGAATGCATTATGTTAATGGCTTACACATTCAGATACTTCAGATAAAACTTCAGTATAATCATAAGAAAAAAACTGTATAGTAATTATATGAAACCAAACATCCCTTTCTGAAAGTCATTGGTATAACAGACAGCAAAATGTGCCCTGAGTTAGTCTGTGTGTGATGTCATTTGTCCTGTATGAGGGAGAACACTAAAAGCAAATTTTCTCTGAAAACAAATTAGGTAAATCTGAGACCTCACTGCCATGGAATTAGATAACATTATTTTGCAACCTTTTATGAATACAGGCATGAGAGATTTTTTGGAATTAAAAAAAAAAAAAAATGCAAATAGCACAAGGAGTCACATTTGCTTGATTCCAATTAGGACAAAAACAAGTGAAACAGAATTATGTAGATATCAACACTAAAAACCAGCATGTCATGCTAAAATGTCACCTTGCTTAAAGTAAACCTGTAAAACAGTCATGCTACAAGTAATCATCGAGATAGAGTTATATCAGACAAATGTCTCAGGCATTTATCATACCAAATCATACCATTCAAATTTTTTTTTAAATTTGGTGTTGAGCCACTGTGGCATATAGCATTAAACAGTTTTTAATCAGTTTTGCGTAAGGTGCGTAGCAGTAACTACATTTTGTGAGTGGCCTTTTATAACCACTGTGTTTTAGCTGTGCTGATTTATAGACCTTGAGTAGTCTGAAGTAGAAAACATATATCAGGGTAGTTATATCAGGGGCCTCTTTGGAAAAGGGGAGACGTTTCACATCTTGGAAACTTTAAAGTTAAAATGTCACTTGGAAAGCCCCAAGGTCAGATTTTTTTAGCCCTAGCAAGATTAGGATTTTGTATCATCATTTGGGACTTACTTAACACTTCAGTTCTATCTTAGACTTTCTTCAGGTGCAGGTTTCAGTTTTCAGACATTCACAAATACTACTAGGAGTGATTTTTTTTTATATATTGGTAAGAGCTATATCGGAAAGTCTGTGCATACCTACTAGAAAAAAATCCTTGTTTTGTGACAGTTTCCCCAGTGACAGATGCTTTTGAGGGCTGTCAGTTGGCCATTCCTTAATCCACTCAGTCTGGGTTGTACTGATGTTTCACAGTGGTCATTATTAAATCAACTCAGCTTTCTTATGGTAGATTACAGATTGGTCTCTGAACCATCTGCGACTCTGGATGTATAAGCTGGTGGGTGCCTATTTAGAAACAAGGCAGTGAATTGTTCAGAAAGGAAGAGGAGCTTGAAAAAGAGCCTGGCTTCTAAACATCTGAAAATAAAATGTTTTCTTTGTGTGGTGCACCTTGGCCAGCCTGCAGCCTGCACTTGTGCCAGCACTGCCGTCAAATGGCAATACTGTAAGATCTGCAGCAAGCTTCCAACATTGCCCAGAGTCCCTCCAGAATTTTCTCTTTGTGAAAGGGATTATGCTAACTACATTTAACTAAGAGATGCCTGTTATAAACAATCACAAGTTTTATCATACCAGTGTGATAAATTTTCAGATTAAATTTCTCATCATTTTGGAGGAAAAAACCTCACAGCTAGCAGCAGGGTTTTTATACGTAATTGTTGCTAAGATGGGGAGAAGAGTATACTGTTCGAATTTCAAGGACTTCTTGTGCCTCAACTATTTGACTAAAGGCCTAGTTTTTATAACTTTACCTATTCACATTTCTTCATCTTTCCTACTTTTTTGAGAATTTGCTTCTTCAAAAGAAGGATTTTATGATGATGATAATAAAAAAGTCCTCCCACTGTATATTGTATAAAAAATTATATCCTTTCCACCTCTAACTTGCTTTTAAAAACAGTTTTGCCTGAAATTTTCCATAAAAAGAGTTTTTTATAAAGGCTGGTATTAATAAGATATTTGGTTATATAAAAGTCTGAATAAGTGACATTTCACAAATTTTGACATATTTTTCTAATTCTAGTGACATATACCTCAAAGACATTTGTTTTAAAGCAATACATGTATTCATTTTTCCTCAGTGGGAAATGTACAAAAGACTTTTTAAATAATATAGGCTTCAAATTTAAAGTTACTTATTACGGAATTTAATGTGGAATAACTTTTGAGATAATCAGCTAATGTTTCCTGTCTTCTAGAGAAAATGATGAATAATTGGTGTAACAGTGACTTACACTGATGATGTAAAAGATACTTTATGTATATATATGCTGTTTTTTAAATAAAATGGAAGATGATATGGCACATGGAATTACAGAACTAGTCAAAGGTACTTCATTTCCTCAATTTTTACTATTTCATTGCAGGGTTTTTTTTACCAGCTGGATTTTTTTTTTACCTTTTGAAGTTCATTTACTGTATTGACCATACCAGTTTAATGGGATTTCTATTTGTCATCTGTAGAGTAATTGCTAAAATTCAAACTCCGTTTTTACTCTCAGGTCAAATCTTATGTTTGTAATCCTGAGATGTGCTGGCCATGGGAGTCACAATGTGATTTCTGCCTCCCCTACCTCTGCCACAGAGCACACAGGTTCGTGCCTGATCTTCGCAGAAAATTTAAAAACCTCTGAAGGTTTCCTGTGTTCTTAAAAATTTGCCCCAGTTTTGTTTCTCTACAGATTGTAAGCAACTTGCTTCCACATTTTCATTGTACAATTATTCCAAATGAACTATTTCTGAGCACAAATCTGTGGTCAGTGAAGGCAGAACAACATTTATTTCCATCTCCTCCAGCACTGATACTACAAGTTGGAGGGAAACTGTATTTACTTAATCTGTAAAGAACTCCAGACAGGGGTTACAAGGAGTTCTTTTTTTCTTTTTTTTTTTTCTCTCGTTGTGAAGTTCATTATACTTTTCAGGAACCATGGAGAAAGTCTACCTCTATTACTCACTAATTATCAATAATTTGAAATGTAAATTTGATGAGATGTGTTTATGTACATTCAGTTAACTTTTCCATGTTGAAGTGGACCTCAAAATAAAAAAATAAAACATGGAAATGGAAAACTAGAGCAGAGTTACAAATGTAAGGAAGGTGATGATTATAAGAAACTGGCTGATGTTTTGTTTACAGCTTGATGCAGTGAAGTTATTAAGAAACTGCTACACTATGGAACAAATATCTGACCGTGTAACTTTTACTAGCCAGACTTGTACCATATCCCCACTAGGCCAAGGACAATGGAGCATCACAAATCTTAACTGCTGTGTCCTGGCCAAAGCACAAGCAAGAAAGAAATATCTTTTACTTTTCTGTGCAGATGCCACCACTTAACAGCATGTATGTCTCTGAATATTTTCTCCCCAGAAGATACAGACGTTTCCAGTTCTCTTTCCCAATATGATAACCTAAAAAGTCAGAGGTTATACAAGAGGATGTTTGACACTGTCAATCTTCTGTTAGCACTTGACTCAATCAGGCGAATGATATGCTAACTGATTTTACTTTGACTCTCTGTCTCTTTTTCTTCTCTAGAAGTAGCTGATGTGATGCAATCTGGTCCACTGTGGGAGAACAGGTCATAATCAATCAAAGTGCGCTTAATGAAAGCAAA